CTATGTATGACTGAATTATTCAGCCACCAAGTTATGCATATAAAATATAAAAATAATTTGAATGACTGACTCTTGTGTGGTACTGGCCATTATTGTTCCAATAAGTAAAATAATTAATTAAAATAAATTAGCTAGCACTTCATCTGGAGTAATCTATTTTACTCTCATAAATCAGTAACACCAGTTATGCAACTTACAAAGCTCGTATTGTATTCCTAGCAGAACGACAAAATTTTTTTACGTCAGCGGCCATCTTACATTCTTTTTAGCTTCAGTTTCAACTAAGATTTAACTTCTGAAAGCCTTACAAATTATCAATGAGTCTGTTTAGATCAGGAGGAGTTTTTTCTACGCGTAGTAAGGCAATTTTACTACGACACGTAAGCAAAGTAACAGACCACAGCGGTGCAGCGTTTCATTCATAAACCTCTTCCAAAAAATATACAAGGCTGCGACGATGCGTAAAAAAAGAAGCTATTTTTAGAATTAATGAATATAAAACGAGAATTTGATTTTTTAAATATTATTCAGAAGATTGCTTCGTGTTTGATTGTTTCAATGGTTCCACTAACTGAAATTTAACAGCTTTTATTTGGTTTAATTGTAATATACAAAGTATATGTAATACAAAGAGGGTGTAATACAAAATATATGTAATACATAGTATATGTAATACATAGTTGGGAATGTATTTTGTTCATTATTTAAAGTATAATTTAGGTTACTCATATAAAAGGTAGTGAAATAAAAAAATAAAAATAATTAACATGTGCGTCGAAACGTGAGTATTAAAAATTTCGTTTAGTCGAAAATGCGGATTATCGTAAATCATAGTATTTTAAAGAATTTAGTCAAAACTGTATCAAGATTTTGTGTTAACTATGTTGGAATTTTGAAATATATTGTGTGTAATTGATTCTTAAACAGAAGAAGAATGACATGAAACTAAACATTAGATTTTTCTATCCAAATTAATTTAAATTTTGTGATCCATTCTTTTTCGTACACAGTAACAGAGTCTCTGTCGTCTCATGAAATACGCATTTTAGTGAATATTATGCAATTTTTATAATTGTTGCGAGTTTATAACTATTATATATTACTGTTAGGTTAAGTTTTACCCAGCTTTAGCCACCCATTTTGCTTTTGAAACTAGTGTACAAAATCAATATGGATAAAAAAAAAAGTGTAAGGTTTTAAATAAAATGATTTTTGAACTTTTTTTATATTACTGATGTTTCTAGGCATTTAAAACGCGTTTTTCTCAAATTCGCTAACATGCAAAATCAGTGAGCTTCTAAATTAATACATACTTTTTAGAAGTTTAGGAACTTCTATATCGGTAACCAATCGGCAGCGATCACATCAACACGAAGAAAAAATTTCTGTTAAAATTGCCGTATTGTATAGTAATGACATTTCTGATAAAAAAAAATAATAATTCTGGTTAATAAAACCAAAATACACAGTATTTAAACCATTTGTTTGGTAATTTTTCTGTCCATATGGTAACGGTTTACCGAAAATTCTGGTTTACAAAATTATAGTTCTCATTTCCACACATTTAGTAAATACAAAACTGAATTCAATTGAACCGAATCAATAATTTTTACGGCATGCTATGAAGCATCATGATAAAAATGCCAAATTTGAGCCCTATTTATAAAACTATATTTCATTGTTAATTGCACAAAAATTTTTACGAAATTTTTACCAAAGTGTTTTGGTAAATAACGGAACATTTTTGGTGTTTCCATAAAAATAACCGAGCATTTTTGGTGTTTCCATAGAGCCAGAACCATGGTAAATTTAATTTTATCATATTCTAGTAGATTTGGCCATACTTTTTTTCTCAGTGCATGGCATCAAAAGACCTTTAAGTAAAAATATCTTAAAAGCGTTGCCTTTTTATTACTGAAACTTCAAAATATTACACGTTCCTCAATTTTTATCTCATTTCGATATTCTTTTGATTAAATATTCACAATAAAAAGTCAAAAAAATTTAATAGAAAGAATTTTGATGAATGTGCTTTTGGTAAAGTTATCAGAAGAGAACGAAGAAAATTGAGTTATTGGAAATATTGCTCTTTTTATGATACGATTTATTATTATTTTTTTTCTAGGTTATTTTTTTTTAAAGTTATAAGGATATCTACTATCGAAATTGTGTGAAGCATTTTCTTTCTTTTTCCATTATAATTACTTTTAGGAAAAGATTTTTTTAAAGCTCTTTTACCAAGGAAAAAAAAAAAAAAAAAAAAAAAAACATGGTTTAAATGCCTGAGGCTCGGAGCAAATATAATTTTAAACTTTATACCATATCTCCTCATATATAGGCGTCAGAACAGACAGATAACAACATTAAAAATTATTGAAGCTTTTTGATGAAAGTCAGAATTTTTAATTGAAGTCTTCAATGAATAAAGTTTCAATGAATAATTCTAAATTTTTGCAAACTTTTGTAAGTCTAGACTGTACAGCGTTATAGTAACTTTCAAATAATAATAATAAAAAAAAGTGTGTTCAATTTTTATGTTTGCAAGCCTGTGTCTTTTCTTAATTTTACATTTTGCGTCTTTTTCATAATTAACATAGAGGATGTAGGTTAGAGATGGGCAAAACTTAACAGTGATGAAAAACAGTTACGATTTCACAAAAGTTAGAAAAATAGCAAATTATTATCTGAAAGTGTTATCTCGTGTGATAACATAGCTTTCGTAAAACAGAATATTATGAAAAATTAACGCTGTTTTCGGAAGAACTAGATGAGTGAAAAATTTCATGCATATCTGGATTAATCCATCGAAATAAAAATTTTGTCCTGAGAGATACATATTACCAAAAAATAATTATGGAGAAGTACTGCTAAGACTAAATGTTGAAATCGAAGCAAAACGTCCACATGTATTCATTTATTAAGTCATCTTTTTTCACAGTATTTCACCAAATGTCCCTTAACGGGCACTGCAATAACTCTGGTGTGTCAATTAATTTTATAGTCGGTCGGTAATTTGATTGCGAATTTTATACGTGTTCCAGCTCACTCAGACTGGTTGGAACCTTAGCTAACTTTAAAAGGGACAGTTAGCTTATACGTCCGTGATCACTTAATCGTCTCTGACCATCTGGAGAAAAAGATGAGGTATTTTGGTTAAACTCATTTTTGTCACGCGGTCAAGTCGCCATGCAGTAATGCACTATGGATTGCCCTCAAGTTTTTTTTGAGAATCGCCAAGTTTATTATGGAAACTTTTTCCATGATAAGGATGGCATTTCGTGATGTTGTTTACCAGGAACGCCAAGTCTACTGGTATCAAAAAGCGGTTTCTTGAAAGCCCTGAAGAGGTCAGTGATAGAGCTTGCACTGAAAAGTCATCATAACTATCACTATCGACGAAAATGACACATGTATCCTTAAATTTCGGCCATTTTTTTACTGTTCATTTAACGGTATAGGTAATGAACATTTTAAGTTGTCACTACCTGACGACGGGTGATAGGAACCTTCAATCGAACAACGAGTTTTGCCGCACCCATTTTTCCTGACCTGCTTCTAGACCCATTCAAAATTTGCAATACTTCTCCAGCTGGCCTGAAGCTGGACTCCAGAAATCTTCTGGATCCCGCATTTGAAAATTTTGATAAAAAGGACATCACTTTTACATGATTAGAGAAGTGAGAGGCACCAAGACTCTAAAGAACATTCCAGAAAAGGCCTAAATCATCTCATCTTTAAAAATCTGGCGGAAATCCATTTTTACACTCAATTCCATTTTTAAACTTTCTAATTTGTTGCACTAATCAATTAATCAACAAAAATTTATATTGAGGAAGAAATAAAATCTGCTAGACTGCCAGAGACATCAAACACTTGCTGTGCTACTCCTTTTTTGAAGAAATGTCACGCAATTTTTAAGTAAAAAGAAATTCACAAGTCTGTAAAATGTTGATAAACAGTTTTAGAAAATGATTAAGAAAATATTAGTGAATAAATATTATTTTTATGGATAAAAATGTGCTGGTTTGCATTTCTCGAATTTTTGGAATCACGTGATACATAATTATAAGAATATTGAATAGAAAATTCGTCAATTTACCACAAAATTTAGGATTGAAATTTTAGGAAGAAAAAAAACAGTTTAAACCAATAAATGGTGTCAAGTTATTCCATTATACCATTAAATAATTTTTATCAACAATAATTTTATTTCAATACAAAAAAAATTAATTATTTCAATACAAAGAAAAAATGAAATTAAAACTCTAAAATCATTCGGATTTTCTTCCAGAAAAAAATAATGAAAATTCGGATTGTATACCTTAATAAATAAATATCTACGAGGTCTGTTTTTTAAATAAGGGCCGTTTGAAAATAAAAACCAAATGAAAAATAATTTTCATGAAGCAAATTTATTTTTTGATTCTACATACGTTTCTCTCTCTCTCTTTTTTTTTTTTTTTCAAAATAGATGCCAAGTTTGCTTAAACACTTATCATACTTTACAACTAGATTTAGAATACCCTCTTCACAGTAATTTGCCGCCTGCACCGATAACCAAGAGGTTACGACCGTTTTCACATCTTTGTCGTTGGTTGCCGCCAAAATGATGTTTGGAACATCGAAAAAAATGAAAGTCACTTAGCGCTAAGTCTGGGCTGTATTGAGAGGTGGTCCAAAACTTCCCAGTCAAAAGAGTCCAATAAAGCTCGGGACTGAGCTGTGGAGAGAGTCATAGTCGTGGAGTAGCGAAATTTTTTGTCGACCTAAATAGCGTCACTCCCCGTATTTCATACGCGGCGGGTGATTTGTTAAACTTGAACATTTTAAAGGCACAGAGAACTGACCGCACAAGTTACATACACAGCTGTAACGGAGCACAGTTGTTCCCAAGGAATGGCGAGACACGACGCAAGTACTCGTTGCGATGTACGCGTCACCTGTATGCTATATGTGTACACAACGAAACGGCCTTTAATTAAAAAACAGCTCTCGTATGCAGTTCCTAAAAACTGCAAAGTTAGAGACTAAAAAAAAATTCTCATCCAAAATCTTGATGAAATAGCTTCGTCCAATCGCATTAATTTCCATCAGGTGGCAACACTAAAATAAGAAAACAAATCTATATTAAAATCAATAAAATAATAATGAGATCTCAATCTCAGAATTTGAATCAGACAACTATATACTACAAGTTAAAAGTACAATATGGTAACAGTACTTAAAACCACTTATATACAGAGTGTTTCTTAAACACGCACATCAGTAATCAAAGAAGTTTTTAAAAAAATATATTATAGCTATTGAGATTGCCGGAAGAAATAAAATGAAATGGAATTATTAGAAATGCCTTCCCCTTCCTTTCAGTTTTCTGAAAAAATAAATTTTATTTTTATAAATTAATAAAGCTTTTTCTTGAACATTCAAGAGCATATTAATGGATAAAAGTTACGAAAATAAGAAAAGCTATAGTTTAAGTGCCCTACACTTGAAGCAATGCGGTGATTTTAAATTATATAAATATATAATCTTGCCGTAAAGAATCATCTGGGTTTTAGAACAGACAAATAAATTAAATATTTTTAAAGTTGTTAAACTTTTTAAAAATCGTTAATTTGACTACATTTTCCCACTTTGGTTAAAATTATCAAAGTCACTGCTTTATTCTCAGCTTTTGCAAATTTTTATGAGCCCAAGTAATGGAGCATTGGAAAAAAAATTTTAAAAATTAGACCACAAACACTCTTCTTTTTCACAAAACTGTGGCTTTTCTCCACATTGACGTTTTGCGCCATCAAAATAAGCGTAGACAGCACTGACTTTTGATAAGCAAAACTTAACGTAGCCGTCATGAGTAACAGTTGCAAACTCACAGCAGTTATAAAAATAGTATATTATTCGCAAAAAAGCATCATTTCATATTACAACGGAGCATTCGAAAAACAGCCTTAAAGTAAAAACATTTGCTTATTTTGTTTTTTTCTTTAAATGCCGTAGATCTCAGTAGACAAAGGCACAAAGTGATAATCTTCAAGGGTTTTTGAAATCGAATGGAAAATAATAGTAGAATGCTTAATACTAAAACCATATAATACGAGTGTAATATTTTGAAATACTATTTATTATTTAAGTTCAAAGCGCAGAAAAAGCAATATTATAGAGTTTAAAAAAGCCCAAGAGACACATGATAAAAGGAAAAACTGAATGAAATTATAAGTTGTAGAGTACTCAAAATTTGGCAATTAAAACTAAGCAGCCTTTGACAATTTTATCAAATTCATATACGAATTTAATATTTGTTCTTCTTGATTTTCATTACTTATTTATAATGTATATACGATGATTTGACGATTTTAACAAATTAAATATGACGTCATCATAATAAATAACACACCGTCGCACTTTAAAACATCATCCAGAAATTTACATGGAAGGAAAAGTTAAATAAAATGTGTTCTATGTTTTGCAGTTGCTACAGAGCACTCAAAGTGTTCTACAGACCTTGCACAAAACTTACGTACATGAAATGTGTGCGATGCTGCTTGAAAATTCTAAGTATATTATTTCCCCAAGTGTATAGCCTATAGATTATAGCGGAGTTAGAAAAATAGAAGTAAGGAATGTTAGAGATATTTAGAACTTATACGTTGAATCCTGCACTTTTAATGTAAGTGCGTTATGTGCAACGCAATTGCTGCAAAACAATCGAAATGTTCCACAGATTTTGCGCAAAACTTAAGCTCAAGAAACGCGTCCGCTATGTGAAAATTCTAAGTATATTACACCGTGTGTATTACCCATGGCGTACTACTATTTGAGTAGCACTCCCTATAGAGTAACACGGAGATATGAATGTTCGAGAGATTTAGCATTATGTTAATCCCTGTACAGAGCTTGCTCAAAATTTAGGTACATGAAACGAGTGCGATGCTACGTGTAGTGCTTAATCTCTTTCATTCAGATAGGATGAAGTATTTAGAAGAAAAAGAAAACAGCAACACTAGTATGAATGTAGCGATTTCTATGATCATAGACGCTGATACTTATGATCACGTCCGATATTCATCGTCATTGTTGTTCTGTTTGGAAATTTCATTGCTTAACGAAAGGTTTATGACTGAATTAACAAGATTGTGCTCCACGTATGAACTTGATACTTTATGAGAAGCATTCGACTGAATAGGGTAATGATGGATATTCTCAGTTACAATTATTTAAAATATTTATGTAGTATTAAGTCATACGAGAATAGAGTCACAGAAACATACGTTTCTTAGGCTTACAAAAATATTTAAATTCTAATTTCATTATCAGGAAGAAAAAAAAGCAAACTATTGGTTTACATACACCTCTGTGGCATGGACATTTACTGAGGACGTGCACTAGATTTGTTAGAAAAATATTGAAAAGTATTTTTTGGAGAAATGAAGTGGAACAATTATAGGAGAAGTAGAACTAATTCGGAAATCTATAAACTATTTAAGGAACCAGATATAATTTAATTTATAACCATACGAAGGTTTAAATGGGCACCTAATAAGATTGGATGATGGTCGAGCCACTAAGATCTTAGCCAAACCATCTGGTACCCGAAAAAGAGGAAGTAGGTGAATTGGTTGTGGAGAGCCTGGTGGCTCAGCATTTGCCTTCCAATGACGTGAACCGGGCTTTAATCCCAGCGATGGCAGGTCGATACGAATTCCGCACCTGGCTCTCACCGACCACAGTGCTGACGTAAAATATCCTCAGTGGTAAAAGGATCATTGATTTCAATCCCCTTGTCGTCAGCCTAACCATGAGAGGTTTCGCGGTTTTCCGCTCTATGTAACGCAAATGAAGGTTAGATCTATCAAAAAGTCCTCCACAAAGGCAAATTTCTCCCGATACTTGATTCAAGAGTTCCCTTGTCTTCTGGATTGGGTTCAAAATTACATGGCTTTGAAGTTGAACATCGGTAGTCGTAAATTTAAAATTGGGTCAGCTGTTCAACGACAGTTATAAAATAAAAATTGACTGTGGAAACTTAGTTTGATTGAGTGTCTGAAAGACCTTAAAACTATTGGGATAACAAACTGTTAAACCTTAGCCAAGATGCAATTTTTAAGTCAACTCAGGGCTGTCGTGTAAGTGAAGAAGAAGAAAGCCATACACCTGCCAACCTTATTTTTACTAAAAGTAGAATAATATCAACTTTTCATTTAACTCCTTAATTTAAATCAAATTCTTCCACTATTTCTTTTTTTAACATCTTTAATTTTAAAATTACATTCTTATTACATAATAAATTAAACAATGAAATCAAAAACAGGGTGTACAATTAATCGGAATTACAATCTTATCTATTTTGATCATTCTTCAATATGCACTAATTATTTTTTCTGTAACATACGCGCGACACGATGACGCAGTTGTCACAATTTGCCATAAAAAGGATCTATTCTAGGTGCACGGCTGGCGTATTTTAGTGACAAATACAGATCTTGAACTATATAAGTCAAGAGTGTCAACTCCACTGACCTATGCATTCGTTCGCTAATCTTCTGAACTACAGACCTTAATCTTCAACTTATATAAAAGGAAGAAAAAGTGAAAGCTGCTAGTTCAACCAGCCGTGTTGGGATTCTTTTAAACAACCCCTTTCGTTGATTATAACAACAAAGAAAATTCTTTGACCCGTTTAAGGGCAGAAGAAATTACTTTCTTTTGCTCTGCTTCGAAGATCTCTGCAACCATTTTTTTTTCCTTCCTTCCAACTCTGAATTGTCAGTTTAATCCTTTTCATGACGAATGCTTGCCCCGCACGCTTGTGCGAGCGATTATGGGCTCTTCAAAGTCAAGACGAATGCGGTAAATAGTATGAGACTGGAGATGATTCGTTGTTGATTTTCAGATAGTATCTAATTGGATAGTGTTTGAATAAACGTAATGAGCAATTAGTTATGGAGTTAGCTTGTCTTCCTTAGATCGGAACAGCTAAGATAGTGGATAAAAGCTTTTTGTAACTATTGAATTCACTAAAACAGTTAAAATTTTTGTAGGTTGTGGNCAGATATTTCTACACCTTTTGTAAAGTGACGTCCTTTCTAAGTCTCATAGCTCTTGTGCAAGAAAACAAAATGTATTGTAAAGTTTCGTAAATCTTAAAATAAATAAAAAAATGGAGAAATATTAGCAAATAAAGCTTTTAAAATTACAATTACATAAATTTCGAAAAAAGCTAGTGTTTGTTCACAATTAAAAATAATCCTTTTAATTCCTTATTCGAATTTATATGCACTTAAGATCAAACCGCGTAGTATTTATTACTACAATTTTAACGATTAATAATTCTCGAAATAATAATTGAAAGTACTTCTTGTGCATTTTTCTGCACAGCTCAAATATTTCAAAATCCTATAGTTTTTGTGTTGTTCTATAAAATCTAACTTAAAATAGAACATCCAAAGCTGCAGTGCTTTTTTCTTCATATCTATAGAGATAAACAGTAACTGACAGTTTACGAATATTATATAAAAATAGAGTGTTACTGATGTAGCCGAAAATATCGTTTTCGTGTTAATAAATATAACGCATTTAAATATTAAAATAAAATTTTGTCTCGGATTAAAGACATTTCTCAATAGATATTTTTCCAGATTTACTATTTAGGATTTTTTTTATTATTATTATTATTTGTTATTAAGGTAATTAAGCTTTAAAATATTTTGATCTTTGATGTTTTAAAATAATTTAAATAATTTATTTAATTTCTAACTATATATAGTTTTATTGATTATAACTATCTACACCAGAGGGATCTCCAATTCCTTGCCTTCGAGCATCGTATAAAAGAGCACGATGAACAACTATAATAAAATTCCGATATTGTAGATCAACGTAATCCGTTGATCCAACCGTTGATCCATTGTAGATCAACGATTCACCAAAGGTGATCCGCGGAGCCCTACAGTACCATGAAAAGATTATAAGGGCTCCGAGAGTTAGGCCTTATTTTAACCAGTTAGGATTTTTGAAACCGATAATTGTATCTAACCAATAATCCATTATTTATTCAATATTTCAGTTATTTTTAAGAAATTATCGGAGACATTTAAGTAGAAGACCAAAAGAAGAAAAAAAAAAGAAAAAATTTAAAATATATATATAAGTTATTCTAGTAACTTGGAAAAAGATAATCATTTATAAAAAACTTCTTCAACTTTCCCATCGAACTTCTTAATTCAAAATAAAATAACTAAATTCATCAATAAAGAAACATGTTTATCTGATAACCACTTTCAACGATTTTAAGTTTTTTTTTCGCTTTCATTTCAACAAAAGCTATAACTTAAGTTATTTTATACATTTTTAGCTCATGCATATACGAAAAAAACTCATTCAGAAATTGACTAAATATCGCGTCCCCTCTGCGAATTCAATTATCTGTCGTACAATCTAATTTCAAAACTTATATTAATAAAGGGAAGAAATTTTTTCCCTTCGGATTAAAAATTTTCAATATAATTAGAAGTCCATTCAAATTAGTTATACATTTGGCCAAGCTATTCACAATTGCTAACGAATTTTATGTATGAAATCTGAGTTACTCTAATGGAAGGGTAATCATTTAGGATTCCGAAGAAGAAAAAAAGGAAACCACTCATTGGGAACCAAAGATTGTGATCATAAATACGAAAAAGGTGGGGATCCCTGAATTTATTTTACAAAGTTCAATCACAACTATTTCATCTTATCCATTACAACTATTATAAATATATTTTTCTTTCTATGATAAAAAATAATTTTATATATTTATTTCTTATATTATAAGCAATAGTTCATGTACTAATATCATTTACAATTTGTCTGAAGGTCAGATTACATATAATTATTAGTGTATTAAAACTGACATTTATTTATTTAAAACTTTGTTTATATTTCGAATGAAGATTCTTCACAGAATGAATGAAAAATAACGATATATTTATTCTTTAAATTATAAGCAATAGTTCATGTACTAATATTATTTACAATTTGTCTTAAGGACAGATTACAAATTATTATTAGTCTATTAAAAATGACATTTATTTATCTGAAACTATTTAGATTTCGATTGCAGATTCTTCCCAGAATAAGTGACAATAAAAATATATTTAATTTTCAAAGCAGTAGTTCACTTACTAATATAATTTACAATTTGTTTCAGATTACATATAATTATTAGTCTATTAAAAATGACGTTTGTTTATCTAAAACTTTTTTTATATTTCCATTACAGATTCTTTATAGAATAAGTGAAAATAACAATCTATTGTAAATATTCCTTCAAAATGTTTAGCTTGTGTCACGTGTCTATTTATTAACCTATTTAGCCTGTCAGTTTAATGTTGTCTTTTGTCTGAATGAAGTTTATCTTCCTTGGGTCGAAAGCTTAATCTTCTGACCAAATCTCTCTGAACCAATTTTAAGAATAACTTTTCAGGGAATACGAAAATTATTTTTTCATGATTCTCAATCCGATTAGTTTACCCCCTTATTTTCTCAAACACCCTCACGAACTTTCCCAACAAACACCCATCCCCATTTCCCCGAATAGATCAGAATCACAGTTACAGTTTATCTAATGGCAGCAGTTGTTGACCACTAGTGTTCGATAAGTTCACATATCTCAGAATAAAAATTTCTTCTGCCTCTTTTATAAAAACAGAATTAATTTTTAGAGTTGGAAGAGGTTTTTATCAGTTGGTAGCAGTCGAAAAAGCCAGCACCCAGTTTCCTTCCGGTTTTTATACTGAAAAATTAGAGATAAGAACACAAGCCCTGGGTTACCATTTAAAACTAATTGTACATGTTTAAAACATGACGTTTCTGTATCTGTTGTAATGGGGAAAACAAAGCCAATTTTAACGCCAAGCTACCAATAACGTATTAATAAGCAATGAAGAACTCTTGCAAAAATTGTTACACAACTTTTTTTTACAAAAGTATCATTTAAATTTTTTCCATAAAATTGTATCACACATTATCTGAAAAATCATCATAGTATCGTGATAATATGCTGAAATTTAACACCACATTAAAGGTTACACCAAATTTGCACGATATGTAGTTCAAAGCGGACCAAAATTTCCATTAGTCTATAAATATATGTATAAATATGTAATAAAGCATGTATTTTTTAAAAAAATTACCATATGGCGAATATATTAAACCAAGATAAAGACAAAAATTAGACCAATAAATGTTTATTAAATTTATAAGTAAAGAAGAACATCAGTAATATTTTACATTAGTTATTGTAATTTTGAGTGCATGTTTCTGTGTTATGAATTATAATTTAGGAACCTTATTGAAATAAAATTTGATGAGATAGCATTATGCTGTTTGTTAGTTCCATAACTCTTAATTTTCATTGATGGTACATTTTTTGCATTTTAATTATTCACATTGAAAAAAATATTTTGCATCGAACTGATTAAGGTTGCTTTCAATTCCTTTTGATCGAAAAAAAACTAATAGTTTGTCGTATTTTGCACGTGAGTTTTATTTCGTGATCCAAAACCTAAACAATTTACTTTTTTTTTTTTTGCAAAAATAAACTTTCTAATTGGGTTTTATATTTGAAATGGTAATTATAAAATAACTGAGTTTAGTAAAAAAAACTGAAAATAAAAAAAAAACTTATTTAAATGTAATTTAATTAATAATTGTTTATTTGTTTATTATTATTTTGTGTAAGAAGCTTAAAAGTAGTAAAATAAGTAAAGATTAGCAAAATCTTACCGCAATTAATTAAGGGGCCCAGAGAAAAAAAAAATTAGTTTCGTACAAAAGTGAAATAAATCTGGTCTTGAAACCTAATATTCCAGTATTTGAAACTGATAGTTGAGAATAAATGAAATCTGTACTACTGCATGCAGTGTTTTCAACACATTTGCTTATTTTACAATAATCCATACCTATAGTTCATTCTCATATTGATTATATAAATTAGTAAACTGTCCTTAGTTTTCGTAAAGGATAGTTGAACTATTTTTTTCTAATGAGTTGAATGGAACTGTAACCAATACTGCAATAACTAAAACAATACTCAATTATCAGTATTAACTTCAACAATGCATCTGCAACAATGCATACTGCAATAACTAAAACAATACTCAATTAGCAGTATTAACTTCAACAATGCATCTATAACAATGCATACCGCAATAACTAAAACAATTCTCAGTCAGCAGTAACTTCAACAATGCATCTACAAACAATGCATACTGCAATAACTAAAAGAATACTCAATTAGCAGTATTAACTTCAACAATGCATCTACTAAGCGCCTGGATACAATAACTGGTAATCGAGAAGCGATAACTAGCCAAAAACAAACACCCACCTCTCCAGTGCCCGTGTCTTAGCACTGATTTCATTTGAATATGTTCCTCCTTCACCAAGATTTCTGAATATAGTTCCTCCTCTTGGCATCATTCACTTCTCTCCTGTTTGGCAAGACATGTTGTCTTCAGGCATACTTTGATGTAATAACAGAATCATCTCAGCATTGAAATTTGAATCCCCTTTAGCAGGAAAAGCTGATTTCCTGATCAGCTGACGGTTCGATTTGTTACTGCCGGACATCACCACTCGAACGGACATAAGGGCGGACACTAAACAGGAGACCGGACACAGGATATGATAAAAGGTAAGATTCTTCCGACAAAAGCTAATTCCGGATTAAATTTTTTGGTCTCATTGGGAAATGAATTATCACAGCATCCAGTTCCATACCTGCTCTTGAAGATGCTCAAGCTCGAATCTCTTTGAGTTGTCCAATTTTCTCATACCTTGATTCCTTTATGCCCACTTACTGAACACTTGTAAAATATCCTGAAAACAAACATTTTTTCCTGAATAAGTTTTATTAATAACTATTTTCCGATAACACGAAATGACCATGAGATGGTATTACACTTTGGACATTGTTTATACTTAGATTTTCACTTTTTGAAATTCATAAATAGTGTTACGTTTAGTGAGCATGATATCAAACTGAATTCTGTCTGGTAGTAGGATGGAAACTGTGGAAATTTGACCAATGTCCACAATTTATATTTTTCTTTTTTTCTGATTGATTTATTTGAGATAAATTTTAGGAGATATCAAACCTTTCATAGCTCGTGTGAATTTTTAATGTCCAATATCCATAATATACTTTCTCTAATTTCTGATAGCGATATTTAAGATAACTTTTCGAATATATCAAACCTTTCGTAGCTAGTTTACTTTCTTTAATGTCCAATATCCGTGATATATACTTTCTCTAGTTCCTGATTACAGTATTTGAGATAACTTTTCAATGCCCTCAAACTTTTAATATTTATTGTGGTTTTTAATATCATCAATTCTGTATTTTTTTTATTGACTCGTACAAGTGTTAGTAGCAAAGTTCAGACAGAGTAGAACTACGAGGACTAAACTTATGTTCTTATTTGCTCATATTTTCACTTTTAGATAAATGGTATGCACTTTTAGCACAATCTGTTGGTTACTGTTATATTAACCTTTTTTGTGGATTTATTCCACATACAACCAACCACTTCGTAAGAATATTACCAATATATTATGACATTTCCTTTATAAGCAAGGCCGTAGATATGAAATGGAGAAGACAGGGTCGAATTTTTATAATTGCAGATAATTTTTTTATGAGCATATTTATATTTGTTAGCAATATTCCTATTCCACAACTTTTGTGAAAAAATTTATCACAATTAAAAAATATTAACAAAAATATAAACCTGCAAAAACTTAGATTTCAGTAAAAACAAGCTTGAAAACAACTGTAAATTAATATTCTAGTATATTTTTGAAAATCGATGTTTTAAGAATCAAACGTAAACCATTGTTTTGAAGTCATTGTTACGAAATAGTAAAATTAAATTTTATATGCTTTGAATAATGAGTTTGCAACGAATTTTGTCCTGGGCCCGAGATTCTTGTGGCCACTAGTGTTAGAATATCCATTATATATAATCGATTTATTTTTATTGTGACATACTTATTTACTAAAAATAAAATTAGCTTTTATTTACTTTGTCAATTCATCTACGTTTTTGATGCCTTGTATTGTATTTGAAGCGTTTTTCACCAAAATCAGCTCAATCAATTTACAAAAAGAAAATCAAACCTAATCTAGTTATATGAAATTGAATCTTATCTAGTTATTAGCTTTTGACACACATAAATCTAATAAATGTAAAAATAATTATCAACGTCATTGGGTTCCTTTAAATTTGGAATTGATAGTTAGTTTTTCTTCTTTAGTTTAAATACAGAATAATTTGCTTACAAACATAGTTACAGTTTGAAGGCATTAATAAAAAAAGTGAATTTAAATCATAATTTTCACCTTATTTCAACCTAAATATAAAGATTTGCTTATAAATTTAAAAGAATTAATAAGCACGGATATTTTTCCTCTGTGGTTTTTATATTTTTGTAATAATTAAAATGTTTACTGTTTAAGATATTAATAACGCAATTATAAAGTGATGTGTAAAAATTAAAATTTGTGTCCTTGCAAAATAATTAGCTAGCCTTAAAAAAAAAAGGAAGGGTTTTGAGCTTATTGTAGGGTTATATAAATATTTTAAATAACGATTCTAAAATAACGAATTCTAAAATAATTATTTTAAAATAACGAAAATTTCTTATTCTAAAATAACGAAATTATTCTTTTATTCTGAAATAACGAAACTATTCTTTTATTCTAAATTAACGAAATTATTCTTTTATTCTAAAGTAACGAAATTATTCTTTTATTCTAAAATAACGAAATTATTCTTTTATTCTAAAATAACGAAAAGGTGAGTTATATTTATTTTCTTCATTATTAGTTGTCATTCTACGTATCAGATTTCTATTAAATAAAAGTTGAAGTTAATGTATATTGGAATCAGAGCGTTCACCTGCGCTGCATTTTTATTCAACTAAAAGAAACAAGAACATCTGCTTATAAACAATCTGCTCTTGCAGATCAATTTTACTTGTAAAATAAAGTGTGTTATAACTATCAAAACTGTTTTTATCTGATTAATATTCATTAAAAACTTTTTTGAAATGAATTTAAAGTACTATGTTTCATTAAGTAATTCTTTAACATTGTGTTCTGGCTAAGGCATGTTCATATTTTCCACAGCTTGCTACTGGAATAGCTTGTTGCCGAAATTGTTTTTGACCATTCATTTTGCCATTATAGAACTGTTTGTTTAAAGATTTATGTCTTTTTCTTATCGTTGACTTGTTAGATGCCCACTTTCCGAGCGGTGTTAAAAAAAAAAAAAAAGTAAACAATCAATGAATTAATACTGAACAACACAAAAGGCCTGTTTAGACGATCCAATTTCTTGGACAGAGACTGATTGATATTGATGGAAAATTGTTTTGCTTTGAGCTTGGATCGTGTAAACAATCATCCAAGAACTTGGTCAAACTTCTTGGACGATAGTAGAGCATGTTCTACTTTCCATCCAAGTTTTTTCTCCCTTAACCAATCAGCGTCTTAGGTACAGTATATCAGATTTTTTGTTCCGTGTTATGTTCAAGTAAGAATGGATTTTGCGGTAAAAAGTACCGGCACCCTGAGTGCCGGTATTTTTTACCGTAATTTGTTACAGAATTTTTTACAATGTACAAGTTGAAATATTTTTTAAATTTTTAGTGCTTAATATCAATTTTAATATTGAAAATTATTGTATTTTGTGTTCATAAAGCAAAAAAGTAAAAGTAAACTTACAGAAAATCAAGAATTTGCACAACAAAGTAATTTTTTTTTCACAAATCGCAGCAGAATGGAAGAAAAGTAAAATATTTATTTTAAATTTTAAAAAAATCGATGGCACAATATTTTGTAATCGGTGATTTTTCTGAAGTAATTGTTCACTAAGAAGCAAAATATCAATTGAGTTTGTAGTTTATTGATCCAAAACTGTTGAATTAGAATTTTTAGTTCAATTTATCTAATATCGTTTAACATTATACTCGGAAATTTTTAGTATAATTTATCGAAAACTTACAAACGAATTTAGTAATTTCAAGATCAATTCTTTTGCATGCGATTGACAATCGATTGATAGAGATATGTAGTACACGCGCGTAAGGAAGTCACGTTTATTTATAGTAATTGAAGTATAGAACCTCTACAACTCATGTTTACTTCCTGATGATAAATATCTAAAATAAATTTCTTCGTAAAGGAGGCCAAGCCTTTACATAGGTGGTTTCTTGGTAATGATCTGTTATGATTCGTAAACTTCATCGTAAATGTTATGTAGGTAAATATAATTGAAAACCACTTAAGATGAATTCTAAGAAAAGCAACTTTTTGTTTAACTAGTATAGATTTAAATGTTTCTGTTTTAAATCAAATAATGCGTAATAGGGTAAAAACTTTCTAGAGTAAAAAGAAAAAAAAAATGAATTAAAAAAAACTGGAGGAGGGGGATGTGTTCAGCTGTTTGCTATAACTATACAGTTAAAAAATTTGGAGCGAGTTAATTCGTAATATCATTCAAGTTTCCTGCCTTAATATGGTGTTAAATTGAAGCTAAGTATTGTACTTCTCAAATTCTATTACACTATACTATGGAAAAAGTATATGATAGCGTACAATACTAGATAAATTATGCACAATCCTAGATATCGCACAATATTAGGTTCATTATACAAATAAGTATCGTAAAATGCTGGATATCGTACAGTTATAAATACAATATACACAGTCCCAGATAGCGCACAATACTAGGTTCATTATACAATTAAGTATCGTAAAATACTAGATATCGTACAGTTATAAATGCTTTATGCACAATCCCAGATACCGCACAATACTAGGTTCATTATACCAATAAGTATCGTAAAATGCTAGATACCGTACAGTTATAAATACAATATACACAATCCCAGATATCGCACAATACTAGGTTTATTATACAAATAAGTATCGTACAGTTATAAATACATTGTGTACAATACCAGATATCGTACATTATACACAATTCTACATATCGTACAATGCTAGATACATTTTAAACAATTCTATATATCGTACAATGCTAGATACATTTTACACCATTGTAGATATCGTACAATACTAAATACATTACACAATAATAGATATCGTATAATGCTAGATACATTATACGCAATACTAGATATCGTAATTCTTAAATTTCATTACACATTTACCGGATTTCATATTATGTTTTAGAAAATTTTCTAGCAGGAAAGTCATGTCCCTGGTTGCTGCTCTGCTGCTATTAATAGCATTTTGACTAGGTCGTTTGCGGTCGGTTGATGGCACAGTCTTCTTTGGTTTTGGGCATTGTGCTTCGATGTTGGCACGTCTCCGTTGCTAATCGACTCAATTTGTGATGCACATATTATTCGTGCGTGATTCGGGATCTTGTGTCAACAAATCCGTAGATTACTAGGTCTTCTGGAGCTTTTGTGGCGGCTGCTGTCTCTGCGACGGGT